ATTTTATCATTTCAACGAGTTTTAATATATCTCCGGACGCATTCCGTGCAGTGTGCTCTGTTGGTAATACTGTCGGACACCCAATAAATTCCACGTTCGTTTCGAGATCAGTGTGATATCTGACGCTGTGTCCAATTGAAATCGAACAAGAACACCATTAACCATTAATTCCACATATCTTCTTTTATCCGCTACGCTTAGAGCCAATGTGGAATATGTACTGTTTACATATTTATATTGGTACTGGTGAGGACGCCTGATTTGTTTCGATCTCAAACTTTCTTTGGTTCGGCAGACTGTTTCTTTGTGGCCAACTTTATTGCATATAGTGCATTTATGATTTCTAAACCGAAAAAATCTTGAGAAATGCCATGCACCACAATACCAACATTTAGTTGCAGGTTTAGGAGTTTTCGAGTGATATTTATGACTTTTGGTACTATTTTATCTTTGACTTGTCTTGACGGCATGAACAGAATTTGATAGCGCTGTACTTTTGGTTTCCAACATAGCGGTATCTTGTTTTAAAATTATTAATCGTTGGCATTCAGTGGTGATAGTTTGTAACGTCATTTCATCATCATGTTCCATACGGGATAACAATTTCATGCGAAAACCAGCATCAACAGGAGAGTTTAGACCAGAAATGAATAATAAGCATTTAAATTGATCACTGGTTAATACATTTAATTTAAATCGTTCTGCTTGTAAATTTACTCTTCTGGCGTACGTAGTGTAATCTTCATCAGCCTCTTTATTCAGCTGTAGACAATTATACCGGATACGGAATAAGGACGTCTGTTAACAAAACATTTTATTTAGGATGTCAGCAGTTTCTTCGAAGCTAACTTCTCGTGGGTGCTTAGGCAGGATATGGTTTTTATACTTCTGGTGCTCGTTAAGACCACGCTTCTGTAAGAGCAGCCGGACTTTCTTTGCGTCATCCATAGCAGCAAATTCCACTTGGAAAATACCTTCAATTCTGCCAAACCATGCTTCAAAAGTGTGACCATTGTCTGCATCAAATATAAATATCGAAACTGGATTAAGGTATGACTCGATACTTTTATGTCCTGGAATATCTTATTTAATAAATAGCTTACCCAAAAGTGTTTCTAGGAATTTCTGTTGAGAAGCTAACATCTGCTGCTGCTGTTGTTGAAATGGTTGTTGCTGTTGCTGCTGCTGCTGTAATAATAACTGCAACTGTTCAAAAGAAATCGCCATATTTTTTTATTGCTGATAAAAATATTAATTCCAAAAAAAATCACCGGCAATTATTACAACTTATTTCTTTCCAAAATCTGAGTCGCCATTTGTTGTATTACTTTTTCTTGCCAAAATCCCTTCGCCAATTTGTTATTAACGCGTAGTTTTGCCGGTTAGAGAGCAGCGTATTATCGATCGGAACAGTGACGCATAAATTACGAGCGAGCAGCCTAGAGTTCTGGTTGGCCCTACTTCCCTGTCTAGCCCAGCCAGTTGAGTCCAGAACGCAAGTCTCAGCCTCTGTGATATGAATCGTTATATTTCAAACATACACTGTTTATATACCAAACAAACAGACTACATCGTACCATAACTAGAAAGTAACATTTGTACAAGATTTAACCTTCAGGAAATGACACAAATAAATATTGACCGATAGGGAGATGACACGTTGGAAGAATATTGACCAATGGGGGAATGACACAATTTCTCATTCAGGAATAGCATTTGATAACTTCTGGGGTATTTTCTGAATACCCCAACACTTTGCCCACTCGCACTCCTCTGTAACGTTTAAGGCCCTTAAGCTTTGGCAGTTTGGATTCTGAGTTCGACGGGCTCAGTGTTAATTGGCAGTCTTTTAATAATTACACAAACCTAAGGGAAAGACCTTCATGGTTCAAAAATGTCAGCCGAAGCTAACGGATTGCCTCGTTCTTCAGGAATCGCATAATAATGACTTCATTTGCATTACGATGCACATTATAGATCAAGGTACAGACAGATGCCTGATAAATAACATCAGATTACCAGTTGTTGGAATACAAGATGATTAAGAAATTGTTAACAATTGAGTGTCCTCAAACAGTTGGGCATTTCTATACATTGTATGTCAAATATTTTTGAACCTATTTAGACTTGAGCTACATAGATTTTAAAATATTCACGAAAGTCTAGATCGAATTCTTTTGACGAAGACTGTATCACTGTGCATCAGCGGTCAACCGCTGCCTAGAAAATATTTGTAGGTCATCGGCGTAGATTATCTGTGTCGAATGACTGGGGATGTATTCGGGTTAAGCGAGAATGGTGCGAAAAAAATCAATCGTAGAAGTCACATCTCACGGTTCTTACCCAACGTGGATTATCCTTTTGCGTGTTCAAGTTCTTCGGCTGCTTTAATGACCGTACAAAAGTTATTACGGAAATATATTGTTGAATGTAGGTAAAAGAAACAAAGTGCGATCACTTTCGCATGGGCTAGTCCATGGCGTGCAATTAACCGGTGAGCAGTGGTCGCCCTTGACTTTGATGAGGATCGGCGAACTGCTCGACATCCAGTGACCCGACTACCGGATGAGTTGGCTAGGTTTCAGTGATATCTTATTGGGTCTGCGGACTGATCTGCCAGAAGAATTCGAAGAACAGTATCTACCCTTATTACTAGAACCCCTAAGCATTTGAACCACAGGGGATTTGTTGCGAGTAGTTAACTATAGTATCTGACTCCCTCGAATGAACTTGTGGTGGTATTAGTCCTAATAACACAATCCACAAAGCTGAACATGAGATAACAGGGAAAATAGATATTCAAAATTTGACACTTAGAGGAGATCAACAATGGTGAATGCAGGAATATTTATGCGTTCAGTCGGGAGGCGTGGACCAGCCTCGTAGACGTGGTCATTCTGCATAGCTTGTTTTTCCTAGTATTAAATATATGATCCTATCTTCCGCCTAATTATGGTTTTCAGAAGTACTAAGAATCGTATTAATTGTTGCGATACAATGAGTCACTGTAGACAATCATGTGAATTTCATGCAAGATCTTGTAGATTGGGTAATCACATTATGACAATCCTATGCTTTTAGGATTAGGTCTGTTGTTATAGTAGTGCTAATAACGAACTAGACCATAATTCTAACCAAGTACTGCGAAAATGTACAATTATACGAAACCCAAAGTCGAGTTCATTAGAATATAATACAACTATTACAAATCAACTATAACAAAAATATTTTCACCATCATACTGTAGGCCCAAATATGAATATCCAGTTTTCATGTTGCACAGAAATAACTTTGAACTTGACATAGCAACAGTTATTTTTTTTATTTCAGAGCAAGGATCTCTGAAGACACTACAAAAGGCGTTGACGTCATATACCTTGACTTCTCAAAGTTTTTGATAAGGTCAGTCATATCAATAAGTTTAAATAATCGGCTGTTTAGAGTCAGGTTAAACTTCACTTTTCCTCGGGCTACGGAATGTCCTAGTGAGGTCCTACAGGAATCAGTATTAGGACCTCCTCTATTAATTTATGCAAACAACATTCCTCAGTAGGCATCATCTGATCTCTTGCTTTTCGCTGATAATATGAAACTACTAAGCGACTTTTGCAACCAGGGTGATAAGCTGACATTTCGGGAGGAACACACAGGACTTCGAAGTCGGGCGAAAATCAACGGACTTACTCTCAAAACCTCAAAATGAAAAGTAGTTCATATTAGATATGTTGTAGACTACGAACACAAAGTGGGTAGTTCCTCTCTGAGGACATCCCAAGTTGGAAAAGATCGTGGAGCGTTGGTACCCTATTACCTGTAGGATACATTGAAACGTATCCAGAGGCGAGCCACGAAATCAGCTCTATGTAAGGGTGCCACATGTAGTCGGAGTTTGACAACGACTTCACATGTAACACCTTTACAATCAAAATGTACCAACTCAGCAAACTCAGAAGTCAGAAATGAAGAGGTTCGAAGATATATTTGAAAGGCTATCGATATGTCGGGAGGCGTTTAATCTAAGCTGGTTGGAGATTGTAAGAGATATGTGGCACGGCGTACCCACTCGTGATCTGGTGCGAAGGCATGACCGAGCGCCTTCAACCAGGTGTGTCCAGTAAAACTGATGAGGTCAGTATCAATGTCGAGGATTCACAAAACTACTTATTCTGAGGATTTACTTGCCTCTACAGGGGACTCAAATTCAAGCTTTATGAAGAGCGCCTCAAATCGCTGAACCTTTCCCCGTTATAGTATAAGTGTCTTAGATGTTGCATGCTGACGATTTACAACATCCTTAACACTTCTGAGCATCCCCTTAAATACCTACTTAAGGTCGGTTACAAGACAAACCTCAGGGGTAACTACCAGAAGCCGGGAACACAATATATATATCGCTAACGTAGATTATCTATGTCGAATGATTGAGGGCTTACTCGAGTTAAACGGAAACGGTGTGAGCAAAAGCTAACTCCTAAGTCACACCTCGTGGTCAGCACCTAAGGTGGATTGCCCCCTCGATGTATCAAGGTACTATGGATGCTTTGATGACTACATAACACAAAGAACGTTATCACGGAAATATATTAATAAGAATGAGAACAGGGAAGATAGTGAAACCGCCACCTCATGTGCCTGTCCATGGCGTACGATTAGCTGACGCGCATTTGTTGTTCTTGAAACTTAGGGAGATCGATGATGGCCCTACAACAACACAGAACGGACTATGGGCACCTTTTCTACTCCTTGAGAGTAGCCAATTATTGGAATTCGCTGCCGGCTGAGCTAGTCTGAGAGACTTCTCAGGTATCACTTAAGAAGAGACTTGAAACATTCTTAAGGACTAAGGACAGTATCTCTCTACAATCTACTAATATTTTTTCTCTTTTGTCGTTAAATGTACCTAGGTTCTTACGTGGAGGCTTTGGTGATCCACTGCTACTGGATATAGAATCCCGTCAAGCGGAAGCTTCTTCTGTTGCGTTCAGACGTATTTGGAACCATTTAAATATGGGCTGAAGTTGTTACATTGTACCAGATTTCAATTGGTTCTAGTTTGACCGCCTGGTACGAGGTCCTATCAAAATGTTGCTTAGGGAAAGTAGTTCTGGTTATCTGATTGCCTCAATCTCACCACTTTTTATTGCTAACTGTTATCCATTTTTTTTTCGCAAAATGTTAGCGTGTCTTAAGACAGAATTCTGTGCTTACAAAGCCATTCACTCACCTTCTCTTGTTCTCTATTCTAGATTCCCTTGTACACCGCACGTCACACTCTTGGCTCAATTCATCTGCAAGCCAAACACTGATCTAGCAAAGGTCAAACGATAATCTCTATGGCTGTTCAGGAGTCTAGTTGTGCCGTAGATGACCGAGTGGATGACGAAAATTGTGGTCCACTACTCATACAAAAGTTAGAAGTAAGTTTTTCTGTCAAAAAAACTAACAGAACAAAACAGCTGTAGTAATAAGCGTGAGATGCTATCATACTAATATCTACCTGCTTATAAAATATGTAAGCTATAGTTCTCAATTGTGCTTGGTAGCAAGCAGTCGGTTAACTCAAAATGTTTTGAACACAAAAGTTCCTTTACATATGTTATTAAAGGACTCTGGTTATGTATTTATACCTACCACAAAAACTAACCAATATAATATTTGGGGAATTCCCGCTCTACAACATAAACGTCTGGAAAAATTGTGGGCGTCACACTTATCCAAATTAGTTGCCGTTTCACTTAACAGTACGTGGGTCTTTACAAAACGCTTAATTAGTGAGGAAGCCCCAATAATAGGATTTGTCTAGACAACCTTCAGTCGGCTAGATGTATTGTCCGGACGACTGAGATTATCACAAATTCCTTAGAAAGGTTAACACAGTTGACTGACAATTATTTTGTTTAACAAGTTATTTTCTCATAAGCTTTATATTTTTTTCAGTCCGCTGGAATTGCCGCTGCTGACGTTAAAAAGCTTCGAGAGGCAGGCTTTCATACTGTTGAAAGTATCCAGTTTGTTCCAAAGAAAACTCTGCTGGCAGTAAAAGGGATTAGCGAAGCTAAAGCAGACAAAATTATAGTAAAAATAATTTAGGCGTTTACTATATTGCAGGAAGCTGCTCAAAAGTTAGTTCCTTTTGGATTTACAACTGCCACTGAATTTCATCAAAAACGGTCAGAAATTATCCAGTTAACCACTGGCTCAAAAGAGTTAGATAAACTGTTACAAGGTACCGGTGGTTCATTAGTTGCTTATCATTGTAGGTGGTATTGAAACTGGATCAATTACGGAGTTGTTTGGAGAGTTTCGGACTGGGAAAACGCAGATATGTCATACTTTAGCCGTAACTTGTCAGGTAAGGTAGATTTCACTAAATTTTTGTGTTGTAATACCTTGGTTGTTCCCTGAATAAACCATCTTTTCTGTGAAACTTTAAGAAATATTTTACCATTTTGATTGGTTGTTTCTGGATTGATCAAAGCTAAACTAAGCAAGCATTATAGATTCAGAATTCTATGTTAACATTGTTAGATGCGATGTAGTATTTAGACATATGCTACAGTCTTTGAACTAGTTGATACACGCATTACAGATGTTTTCAGTTATCCTCAAGTAACAAGGCTTTGTTTTTCGTATGTGTTACTCTACCCAGAGGTTCTCAACATGAACTAATTCTCTGAGATCAAACTGAAAACCTAATCAGTTATGGCAGTAGATTTTTAGGAATATTAGTTTCAGAATATTCATCATTCTTTGAGAACAACAGATATTATCCCTCCAAACATCACTACTGAGTAAGCTCTAAACTGCTTCTTGTCGAATAATACCCTTGATAACATAATAAATGTATTCGATATTTTCTTCACATTCAAATTTATACAGTTTCAGAGCCAACATTATCGACTGCTAAATTGAAGTTAGCAAGGTGGAAATCAATGTCGTTTAGTAAGCTACCATTCAAACTCACGGCCGTAAATATTACTTTTTAAAAAGCTCATTGCCTTGTTTCGGTGGAAGATTGATTTTCCGGAAACTTATGTGGAAGTTCGGTTCAAATACCTACTATAAAAATGAAAGTTGGACGGCGACGCTTATGTGTTTAGCTAAAGTAATGATGAACCCTCAAGTCTCAACCATCTGTTTACAGACCTAACACTAACTGTGCTTGGTAAATGAGTTATGTAGCAGTAAAATAAACACATTGTGTGCCCAGAATCCCGAATATCGTGATTAGTATGAATCTCAGAATGTTAAGGAAATATTTTTTCAGTTCGGATACAAACTACTATTTCTTAACTTTTTGTGTTCATGTTGACAATTTAAGATGACTGGTTTGTATGATTGACTTCATTAGTGTGATGCTAGATAACCTTTGAGCAGGAATACAAAGTTTCATAAGCATTCATCAAGTTATGTATAAAGTACATCCTCTCATAGGTTATTGTGAGATGTACTGTAACACAGCATCTTTTGCCACATAACTGTAAAATATTTATGCAATAAAGTGCTTGGATTTGATCGTTTTCAATTGTATAGCATCTCATGTTCTCAAATGAACAGATAATTAGGGAGTTCACGTACAAAATTAGAATAGTGTTCTAAAACTCAGAGTTTGATCCACGATTGCCTGATTCTGAGTTGTATGATGAGATATAATCTGGTTGGATTAATATTTACGAATGGGAAGTTTGTAATAAGAAAACACTCGACAAATCTCATAGTTGCCAGTTATATTGACTGGACTTCGTGTAATCACAGTATATATTGCCACTTACGTCGTATCGAAACTAGTATACTATTCGGTGTCATTCATAAACAGTGTAGAGCCTGAGACGTGCATCGGCCCAAGTTGCCACATACCACACTGGGACATTGATACCAAGTTACCAACGAGAATACTGAAGTGGCAGAAGTAGTTGTAGTATCAGTGTTAGTAAGTATGGTTAGACATAGTGGATAAGAATCGATTACTAATTAGCACAATAAAAGATCTGAAAAGATTTCCAAACTCTGGATCTGAGAGGAGACAGCTTGAATGAATCTAAGGCATTGCAACCAACTGTGAACCATGCTACCAAACATCTGCAATCATTAGTTGCAATATCACCAGAACCCCAACCTAATAGTCTGCAACATAGCTCAAACTAATGATCAGAGACCTTATGAATTAATGCCCCTAGCTTTCTTTTAACTTTCTCCTACTCCAGTATATGTCCTGCTTCGAGATGAGGAGTGGTTGTATAGCACTTGCATACTGTCAGCTGTTTTTCTGTTTCTGTTACTAGTTACCCATTGATATGGGTGGTGGTGAGGGGAAATGTTTGTATATTGATACGGAAGGCACCTTTCGTCCTGAACGTTTGCTAGCAGTTGCAGAAAGATATGGTTTATCTGGTAGCGATGTCCTAGACAATGTGGCTTATGCCAGAGCCTACAATACTGATCATCAAATGGAGTTACTTATTAACGCAGCGGCTATGATGAGTGAGTCAAGGTAAGATGTTTTCTTGCTTAAAGTGTTGATAAAGTTATCATTTATGGTATAGTAAGGAGTAAAGATGATAACTAGCAACATGATGACCATAATAAATTTCAGTTTAATGGCTGTTTATCACTTAACTATTTAATGTTTTTGCTAGCATGCAGCTTGAACTTTTCTGCCTAATATAGTCAGGATCATATTACAGGTGCTTATAAACTTCTATTTTTGTATTGGTTTTTTGAATCTTCCCATTGACTTGTAGGACTGCAGTAGATCAATCTCTTATTAGAATATGTGCATCCTGTGCGGATTGCCTTTATATTGTCTCAAGTCACAAGCATTATAAACAAAGATGGTTGGTAGCTAACAGTGGAATCCAGGACTCGCGTTCATCTTATTTGGGACTCGTCAACTGAATGTACCCGGATCCCAGAATTGATATCTACTATCCATCTTTAGTTATAATGCACTATTAAGGCGATCCTCACAGGGTGAACATATGCTGAAAGAAGATCGATCAATTGCAGTCCTAAACGTCAATAGGAAGATTCAAACAGTCAATACAAAGATAAATCAAACTACCCCATTGCACAAGCTAGTGGCTATCTGGACTCGCGATACCGTTTGAAGCGAACAGTACTGGGTTTGAATCTCAAAGTAAACAACTCTTGGATGTAGGTACATCCGTCTGACAAATCCCCTAGATTGAATTAAACGCGCGTCGTGGATTCCACTGCAAGGCACCATCTATCCCTACTTATTATTCTCGCTATTCAAAACATTGTTATTTTGTACCATGGTAATATCTTACCCCATCGTTCCATGTATTTTTTTCTTTATATTGACGAGTTTATAGGAAAATTAGTTAAAATCAAAATGGTTTCTAAAAATGACAATTTTCACCTTTTCGATACTGTTGTTCCTTTTAAATTTAACGTGTTTTCATATTGCTTTCAGATAACCATGTTCTTCTGAAAACCATACTATCCATCTCACGAAAAACTTCTACATGCTTTGCATTTTTGAGTCGTTAGGCAAACCTAACAAGAAGTTTAGACTAGAATCTTAGATGTCCCCAATTCGAATTAATGAATAAGTCTTCATCTTGTTTGGCTTGTGTTATATCCTATTTCCTATCAAATATTACGTGGCAAAATCACATCTAGAGTACTGACTTATATGACCTTATCCCAATGACCCGTTAACCAACACGACCAACCTTGAATCAACTCTGAGTCCTTGTCGGCCCTTTGCATAGTATCTTCTCGCCTAATCCAGCCCCTTTCAGTCCAGAACACATTCGCCCATATTGTACGAAATAATATATTTCAAACAGACGTAGTTTAAATGCAAGTGGATCAGGCCGTATCACACAATAAAATGAGAAATAATAATTATACAAAATCAGGCCAAAAGTGGCTGAGTGTGGGATATAATGTAACCGATAAATTGGGAATAAGTTAAGAATGGTAAATCGTATAAAAATGGCCGATAAGTTAAGTGAGCTTATTATAGAAGGAATATAAATATATTAAATAATGATCCACAAATAATTCCTAGCAGTTACCACTCATTTATTATTCGTTCAGATACAACAGCTTGGACAGCCGAGTAGCATCTCATTTGTCTTTTCAGGAATATTTATCGTTTACGTTCTCCTTTACTTGCATGTTACACATATTGACTCGTTCTAAAACTTTCAATACCTAGATCTCATATTGTTTTTATTATGTTTCGCTTCTATCTGCGTATATGTTTTAGCTCACATATCTTACAGAGATTCGGAATAGTTACACTAATTATTCTGTAGCAGTTTGGTTAGTGTTTGGGTTGTCCAGTCTCACCATCCTTCAACTTTACACGAATAGCATTGTCTTACTGTGCAATAATACACAATCTATTTAAATGCACAGTACTCCTGCAAGACTAGGAGAAGCTTGTGCCTACGCTCACTCTTTGTGTTATTCCCTTAGTAGTGGTCGAGAAATTTGTGTATCTGGATAGTTTTGAGTACTGGTGGTGAACGTTTAGCAGGAACTTTACACTTATTAATATTTTTTGTGTATACATGAGACTAGATGAGTTGGATTATGTAGATAATCAAACCAAACTTTTTTTCTACCAATCTATAAAATCACAGTATGTACCCATATTGGTCACATTATCAGTTTGACTAAAGTGAAATGTAAATCCACTTGTTTCTCCGTAAATTTATATTTATAACTTTTTAACAAACCACAATGATCAGTTCCCTATTGTGTTGTACTCATGATGGATAATTTTTTTTAGTTGAAAAGATTTCTTGCTTTTGTTTAATAATCTGTCAATAGTGTCAAACATTGTTTCATTCCAGTAAGTTTTATTTTCAACAACTATTTTAGATATGCATTACTAATTGTTGATAGCGCCACAGCTCTTTATCGTACTGATTATTCTGGTCGTGGGGAATTATCAGCACGACAAATGCATTTGGCTAGATTTTTGCGTACATTATTACGACTCGCTGATGAATTTGGTGTGGCTGTAGTTATTACTAATCAGGTAGTCGCTCAAGTTGACGGTGCTGCTATGTTTTCTGCTGACCCTAAGAAACCTATTGGTGGAAATATAATGGGTCATGCTTCAACTACTCGGTTAGTCATTGAAATTACTGAAATTTTTTTTCAGATCTATCTTATAATAATTAAAATGGTTAGTTACTCTGCTAAACAGTTACTAGTAATTGACTTATTTCAGATTGCTTGGCTATTATTTTGACATTTATAACATAGTGCTTTAAAAATTTGCTACTTATACGTAAGATAAAGTTCATAAACATTTTAAAAAAATTTTTCTTTCATTTAAATGGGCCACAAACCTAGGAGTACGGTAATTGAAGTGTGTAGAGTTTCACAGTTGTATGATTATCATGTAAAAATAAACACAATCTAGTTTCGTCATACTGATGGACTATCCCAAACCAATGGTGCACATGGGCTCCAGTATCCTGAAGGAACAAATGGCGTATGAACCAATCGTTGGTCACCGACTACCATGGGACTGCATCTCCTTACGATGCTCCAATGCCTTGTGGGTCAGACGTTCAGGTTCAAGGCTCGGGGTGTGGCCCCCTAAGAAAACCACCTGCTTCGGTTTGGGTACTCGGGCAGTATCACAGCCCTCACACATATCAAATGAGATTTGTGTGGCGCATATGTATTTGGTGCCTCCTTGTACCAATATCTATGTGTTAAAATAAATAATAAATAAATTCTTAATGATCACCTTATTTACGATCATTTTAACTATGAAGTTTACTTTTATCTGAATAAATTCAAACTATAAATCTAGTGAGTTTTCACCATATCTTCGTTATCTTTAAAACTCTAATTCTAATTGCCATTAAACTATGATTATAGAAAAAGCTTCATTAAATGAAATGAATAACAAGTGTTTGTCTCTGGTGTTACCTCTTCAGATTATATCTTTTCCATACTATGACAGGCTCAAATATGTGTGGAGGAGTATCGAGAATACATGTTTTCTTTAATACACTACTTAGAGTTCATAACTAGTTTTAAGGGTATTGGCTTTGTACAAGTTGATATACAGATTCAGTACAAGAATTGTTCGAACGTCTTGATAGGACTGTTTCCGATCGATCAATGCGGATAGACGATTTCAGAAGTTGCTCTAAGGTTTCTTATTTAACTTATTCATAAGTGTTTGTTTTTACTTTTGGTCTCTTCTAACTTGTGGTCATCTTAAAATCTATATTATACGATTTTTCTTACCGAATCATTTAGAAGTGATGTTAATGAGTACCGAGGAATCAACGTGTTATCAGGTTTTCTAGCATCGATTTATTTGATATACCTGGCTAACATTAGTCGCTTACATATGGACTCACATGCTACGTAACGACAAGATTTATAAATTAGCTTTTTTGTTGAATATGACATGCTTCAATTGATGAAAATCTGTGTATGGTACGTCCTTTGTTGATAATACAGAATAAAGCTGTAGATTCATTGATTAATTGCATGATCGTAATTCTCACTTTAGGTCAGTAGTCTGTCATCTGATAAACAACTCGACGTTTCTACCTTCACATCATATTCAGTCATTAAATTCCTTTTTTTAGTAACCTCGTTGTTCAGTTGTCCGTTCGTTCTGTAAATTATCATTGATCCCTCTCAGTCATTTATGTTGTCTTAATGGCAATCGGTTTCAAAGTTTTTTTACTGTTGTATAAATAATAAATAAATTTTTGTTACACCCCAACGAGTAGAAAAATTGTATTTCCGACGTTTCGTGGCTTAATGTAAGTCACTTTTCAGAGAAAATAAATGAATTGACTTACATTAATTCACGAAACATCTAAAATACGAATTTCCTACTCATTGGGACATAACAAAAATATATTTATTATTAACTTTCTACCCAAGGTTCAGTTTATTTGAAACTGTCAACTACAACCTTGACATTGATACCTACAATTTTGTGTACCTATAAATTTATGTATGTGTCATTATTTCTTTCGAAAAAATCCAACCTCTTTTCAGATTATACCTCAGAAAAGGTCGTGGAGAAACTAGAATCTGTAAAATTTATGACAGTCCTTGTTTGCCAGAAGCTGAAGCTATGTACGCTATTCTTGCCGACGGTATAGGTGACGCAAAAGATTAACGAAGTTTTGTAACAAACAAACAAACCAATTTGTGTTCAAAGAGTTCATTTCAAGTCCAATATTTTTCACAAGATAGTTCCGTTAAAATTCTGAATATTGTAAATATGTGGCCATAGTTATTCTGTTGACAGGTTGTTTTTTTTGTAACACTAATGCTTTCTCTGAAAACATTTGGTTTATTTTTAGAAGGGAAAATTTTATATACATTGATTTATTGCGAAAAAATTTTGTTTTCACGTCTTTCGCATACTGGTCTTCAAAAATTGTTGTATTTCACTTAAATTGTAAAATTAGTAATCTGTTTTTGGATGTATGTTTATTACGGGCATGACTTGCAGAATCAGTTGGCGTATTTATTCATTTATTTGTATTCGTCTTACTGGACGTAGAAAAGACGCTGCAAGGAAACCTCTTGAGACCCTACTTAATGATAGTCAGGCTAAGAACAAGATAAGGAACAACTAGAAAAAAGTTAGGCAGCCATGTATGTGGTGCCCACCCCAAAGTAGCGTGGAATGACATCCGAAATGATGTGAAAACAACAGTGATATTTGCTAGAACTGTAAACTATAAGGTTAGGGAGAAACACTATCTCAGCAACATCTGCCGCTCTGATAGATGTTCGAAAACTCATTGTATCTGGCTCTAAACATAACGAAGAGCGGAGTTAGCTTATGCGCAAGCTGACTAGAAGCCTACGAGATGATCGCGAACAGTAGTGGGTAGCAAAAGCAAGAGATGGAAAAGGCAGCAGCAATAGGTAACGGCAGACAGCTGTTCAGACTTGTTAAGGAAACCGGTATTAGTAACCCGACTGTTAGCCAAACTATCTCGTGAGAAGATGGACAGGAGGTTGGAAATGGCAAAAGTCTTGTGACAGTCACAGAGGAATCAGTTCGACTAATGTAGTGTTCAAAATATTAGCTCCAATAATACTTCGACACCTAACTAAAGCTCGTGAAGAGCAGACTAGAGAAAACAAGGCTCGTTATCGACCTGGACGTGGTTGTGTAGACCAGATGTTTGCACTACGTCAGGTCCTAGAACATTGACACACATTCAGACGCCCCACGATAGGTAGTATTTCTCGACCTTAAGGCGGAATTTGACTGTTGATCGTGAGGTCCTATGGCAGTGTTTGTCACTGGAAGGGGTACCAAAGTAGTACGTTAACCTTGTAAAGGCTCTCTACTCGAGCACAACTGATCGAGTGAGAGCTAGTGGCGAACTGTCATCAGAATTGATTCCCTCAAGTGGTAGTCGTTAAGAGTGTTCACCCTCTCCATTCTTGTTTAACTTTGTCGTTGATGTGCTTTTAGAGATGATACTTTCCTCATCTAGATTTCCAGGAGTTGAACTTCTACAGAGAGATTCACTTGTTGACTTAGAGTATGCGAAGACATAGTACTATTTGGTGAAGACGCTGACAAAATACAGTCTTCTGACCACTGTAAGCAACAATGGAAGCATGCTCGTGATGCGATTCTTCACCTCGAAATGCGAAATTTTGCTTCAGGATTGGGTTGCATCGACACCCAAACTAATGATAGGGAATGAAGTAGTTGAGCGCGTCGACAGCTTTACTTATCTTTGGAGTCTCATCAGCCCTTGTGGTCTGTTGTGTGACGACATCTCAGCACAGATACAGAAGGCTCGACTAGCTTTTGCCAACTTGCGCCATTTATGGTGTAGGCGAGATATCCGTCTACCGACCAAAGGACGTGTTTACTGCGCAGCAGTTCGTTCCGTCCTACTTTATGGCAGTGAAATATGGCCGGTAAAAGTAGAGGATGTTCGCAGGTTACTAGCGTTGGATCATAGGTGTCTTTGAAGCATTGCTCGTATATCCTGAGACCACCGAGTAAGTAATGCAGTTATTAGGAAACGGGTACTAGGTGAGGATGGCAAATCAATTGATGAAGCAGTGAAACTTGATCAGTTGAGATGTCTGGGACACATGTTACGTATTTCCAACCACCGACTGCCCAAACGTGTGATGTTTTGTGGTGTAGAAGTAAACTGGAAGAAAGCTAGGGGTGGCCAGATCAAAACATGGCATAAATCCCTGAAGTCACTGACAAGTGGACTGAGCCATATTGGTAGCTGTAGACTTCCTCGTTGCGGTCAGCGAGATGATTGCAACCGATGGTTAGAGGCCTTGAGTGACATGGCTGAAAATCGTTGGCAACGCGCAGGTGCATCCATTCTTTGTGTTCGCCTAAATTCTAGGCTTATGAATTCTTCGTGTATTTTTCTTTTCCTCTTTCCAAATTGATTTCTACTCCTTGAGTAACGTTTTCAAACGCTAATCTTCCCGATTACTGTTTATACTCTTACTACCTCTATCACTACGGGATTTGAATCGACAACTGTATCTCTGTGCTACTGTGGTATGGCAACTGGAGTTGATGTACGTACGTACGTACGAAGTTTTACGTTGTTTCTGACTGACTGACTGACTTCATTAACAAGTGACTGTGGCACCTTACTTTACGTAACTGGTGTCCTCAAAGAACTGTCTTACTTACTTACTTACGTCTGTTACTCCTCGTGAAGGAGCAAACTCCATCGTCTTTCCCTAATTTCCTCTTCAGCTGGAAGCTGGTTGGTTCTCTCCCACAAAAGGCTGTTGCTGATGGTATCCGGCCAATGGATGTTGAGTATCATGCGTAGACAGCTATTAATAAATACCTGTACCTTCTTCATGGTGGTTGTTGTAGTTCTCCAAGTTTCAGCTCCGTACAGTAGAACTGCCTTGACGTTCGTATTGAAGATTCTGACTTTGATATTGGTTGAAAGTTGTTTTGAGTTCCATATGTTCTTCAGCTGAAGGAATGCCGCTCTAGCTTTGCCAATCCTCGCCTTGACGTCTGCATCTGAACCTCCTTGTTTATCGACGATGCTTCCCATGTATGTGAAGGATTCCACATCTTCCAGAGTTTCGCCATCAAGAGTGATTGGATTGCTGTTCTCCGTGTTGTTTGAGGACCTTGGTTTTCCCTTTGTGTATGTTGAGGCCTACTGATTCAGAGACTGCTGCTACTCTGGCTGTCTTTATCTGCATTTGTTCGTGTGTATGTGATAAGAGGACTAGGTCATCTGCGAAGTCCAAGTCGTCTAATTGGTTCTGAGCTGTCCATCGTATGCCGTGGTTTCCCTCAGATGTCGAGGTCTTCATAATCCAGTCAACCACCAGGAGAAACAGGAAGGAAGAGAGTAGACAGCCTTGTCTTACTCCGGTCCTTACTTGGAATGCCTCAGTCAGCTGACCTGCATGCACTACTTTGCACTGTAGTCCATCGTATGAGTTCCGGATAATGCTGACAATCTTCTCAGGAACTCCATAGTTTCGAAGAAGTTTCCATAACGTTCTCCTATCTACATTGTCAAATGCCTTCTCATAATCAATGAAGTTGATGTAGAGTGACGAGTTCCAATCAATTGATTGTTCGACGATGATCCGTAGTGTCGCAATCTGGTCTGTGCACGACCGGTCCTTACGGAATCCAGCTTGTTGATATCGAAGTTGAGCGTCTACTGCGTCTTTCATCCTGTTCAGTAACACTCTGTTGAAGACTTTACCTGGTATTGACAGTAGTGTAATGCCTCTGTAGTTTTCACACTTGCTCAGATCTCCTTTCTTTGGAATCTTGATGAGGTGTCCTTCTTTCCAATCCATCGGCACTTGTTCCTCCTCCCAAATCTTCTTGAATAGAAGATGAAGCATGCTTGTAGTTACTTCGATGACTGACTTCAACGCTTCAGCTGGTATATTGTCAGGTCCTGCTGCTTTCCCGCTCTTGATTTGTCTGACGGCCATTCTGATTTCTTCTGTCGTTGGTGGATTGACATTTATAGGAAGATCTGTGTGTGCTGCTTCGATGTCCGGTGGATTCATTGGAGCCGGCCTGTTCAGGAGTTCCTCGAATTACTCTGCCCATCTGTTCCGCTGTTGTTGAATCTCAGTGATTGGTCTTCCTTCTTTGTCTTTGACTGGTTTCTCTGGTTTACTGTATTTCCCTGCAAGCTTCTTCGTCGTATCGTAAAGCTGTCTCATATTTCCTTCTCTTGCAGCCTTTTCCGCCGTCGTTGCTAGTTCTTCCACGTATTTTTGCTTGTCAGCTCTAATGCTCTTCTTCACTTTCTTGTTTGCTTCTATGTACTCTGCTTGTGCTTGGACTTTCTCTGCTCTTGTTCGACTGTTGTTAATTGCTGTCTTCTTGTTCTTCCTTTCTTTGATCCTGTCCAGTGTTTCTGTAGAGATCCATTCCTTGTGATGATGCTTCTTGGGGCCAGAACCTCTTGACACGTTGAAGTTAATGTTTCTTTGATACCTTTCCAGCTATCCTCCATAGTAGTTTCTTCTTCCTTCAGTAGATCCTGTAAGGCTTGGAACCTGTTGTTGAGAGCTACCTTGAATTCATTGAGTTTGTCAGTATCTCGAAGGAAGGCTGTATTGAACCTTTGCAGCGCTGTTTGTCCAGTTGTCCAGTTCTTCTTTAGCTTCAGTTTCAATTTGGCCACAACCAGGTGGTGATCTGAAGCTATGTCCGCTCCTCTCCTGGTTCTCACATCTTCCATTGTCCTTCGGAACTTTTTATTGATGCAAAAGTGATCTATCTGGTTCTCTGTGGTGTGGTCCGGTGAGATCCATGTAGCTTTGTGTATACGTTTGTGTGGAAATATTGTGCTGCCTATCACCAATTTATTGAATGCACACAGATTTGCAAATCTTTCCCCGTTTTCGTTTCTCTCTCCCAGTCCATGTAGTCCCATGTTATCTTCATATCCGGTGTTGTCCATTCCGACTTTGGCGTTTAGATCTCCCATCAGAATGGTGAGGTCCTTTCTTGAGCACTTCTCTATGATTGACAAAGAACTGTCGAATACTCAAAATTGATTGATCACTGAGTACTGATTCATATAATATGTGTCACGTCCTTAGTGCTTATCGAATATCATCAACCTATCCGCCGGGGAACACCAATTTTCCTAAGGTTGCAGGTTCACCTTACTGTAGAGTACCTAATAGTTCAAAACTTATTTTCAGTGTCTCCTGTCGACTATGTCCAACCACCAGCTTACAACTTCCTAATGTCCTGTAGCAGTGTATAAGTTTCCGAAATAAATAGTTCTTTGAGTCCTCGACATTGATACTGACCTCATCAGTTTTACTGGACACACCTGGTTGAAGGCGCTCGGTCATGCCTTCGCACCAGATCACG